GCTTCTACAGTAGTTAAAAACAAGTCTTTCCAATATGGCTTTTTCAAAGATTTTTAGTGTTAGTCATCCCCCTCATACTCCTTCCTCTACCCTGCCTTCCCATTCCCCATTTCACTTAACCCTTTCCCTCCATTATTCCTCATTTCCCCTTCATACTACCTGTGTTCTATCCCCCTTCCCTTGAAACCCCTCCACATGGCCCCTTTCTAGTTTCCTGACTTCTCTGGGTACTCCAGTGTAAACAAATATATCTAAAGATTCACAGTTAGCATCCATACATGAGAGAGACCATACAACATTTGTCTTTCTGGGTCTGTGTTTCCTCACTTAGAATGATTATTTCCAACCTCATCAATTTACTTGCAAATTTAATAACTTCATTTTTCTGAACAACTGAATAATATTGCATTGTGTAAATGTACTGCATTTTCATTGTCCATTTTTCAGTTGAAGAAGGGTATCTAGGCTGCTTCCATCTCCTAACTATTGTGACTAGAATAGCAATGAACATGGATGAACAAGTACTTCTGTAATAGGATATAGAGTTCTTTGGATATATACCCAAGAGTGGTAGAGTTAGATCATATGGTAGATCTGTTTCTAGCCTTTGAGGCACTGCCACACTGATTTCCATAATGGCTGCACCAGTTTGCACTCTCACCAACAGTGGATAAGTGTTCCTTCTTTCTTGCATCCACACCAGCATTTGTTGTCTTTTTTTTTTTTTTTAAGGTGATAAGAGATAGTTTATTCTGGAGCCAAGTATGAGTGACCATGGCCCAGGAACACAGATTCAGGTTACCCCAAATTCCATGTCCCAGCATGGTAACAGTTGCCTTACATTTTTATAGTAACAGAACAAAGAAAAGTCATAAGTTAAGACATTTTTCAAATACATTGGAGGATACATTCAGTAGGCAAGTCACAGCACAGTGAGGGTATTTTTTACTATAGGTCTCAGATGCTATCTGATGACATTCTTAGCCTTTTGATTGGTCTGCTAGGATAATACATTCTGAAAGGTTTTTTTGTCTGTTAGTCACAGGATGTTAGATCAGAAACAGAGGTGGGTAAAGAGTGGCAGTTTAGGGGGCTAAAGATGGCCCAAGATAAAAAATGGCAATTAAACTTTGGACCTGGAATATGCCAAACTCTCCACAGTCTCCTGAGTGATAATCAGTTGGTCAGCCTTGCAGGAAGTTCATTCCAAGGTGCAGGAATTCTTTGGAGGAACTTTTCTTTCACAGCTCCTCCTGTTGGCCAAGTATCACATTTTGTGCATGCAAGGGCCACCTATTTATTCACAGGTCGTCTTAGGAAGGCTCATTCCTAGAATCCGATGTAGATAAGGTTCAGTTGTAGGTGAGATAGCAGTCTTTAGGAGAGAGGAATAGCTAGCTGGTAGAGCCAATAAGAAAGAAATGCCTGATCATATCAAAAGTATTAGCCAGCACGATCTGGATCTTTTCTTTTGTCGTCTGTATCTGACATAACATTTGTATGTGACATATGTATAATAGGATGACTATACTTAAAATAACCAAGAGTATTGCTTGGCTGAATGGAGCTAATATGCCAGATTAAGGCAACAAATATTAAAATAAAAATGAGATTGAGTATGTTTCCCG